CGTTTTCCGCTCAGCTTTGAGTTAATCCACGACAACCGGCGAGACTTGGAAGCATTAGCAAGGCAAACAAAAGCTTCCTGTGCGCCATCCTTCCCTCGTCCTTTAAAAGGACAAACAGTTCAATTGGCAAAAACGCTCTTTGCTAATTTATGGCGTTTTAATTCATATGCAAAATGACAGCGTGTGTGTGGCTGCTTCATTTTATTTATTTTTTTTTTCAAACTTTCTTTTAATGTTGGATAAATAATCAAATGTGTACATCGTAGGACTTGGAGACATGAAAGGCAGGAGTTAGATCCAAGAGCTCTGGGGGATTTCCTTTGGGTTGGGCTTTTGGGGTTGCGACAGTCAAGTGCACATATGAACTTCATTTTGGCCAGAAATCTAATAAAACTCCGCAGCAGGATGTCCTCGCAAGGAAATTATTTTTTATTCATGCATTAAATTGTTTTGACTTTCGTTCGATAAAGATCAGCATCTCGTTCCTGGATTTTCTTTATGATTATTATTCTACCGTCCCCTGCTAACATTTTTCCTTTTTTCCCGGTGCTGCCACATGCTAATCAAATTACAAGATATGTGCGTTCCAAATCTCCTTGGTTACCCTCAGCAGCTGATTCGTTTCCCAGACGGAATCACCTGGATAAAGTTGAGGAGGAGGTGGCAGCATCGCCTGCAGCAGAAATATCAAAAATAATTTGTTTGACAATAAAAGACGATAAACATTAAAATTATGTGCAAGAGATTTTCCTTTTCTCGGCGCTTTTTTTCGGTCTATGCTAAATAAAAGTGAAAAAATTATGACAATAAAAAGGAAAACAGAAATGGATAAAAGTGACTACCAAATACTCTTAAAATATTTGAAAATATAATTAAAAAATTAGTTTAATTTGTTGTAAATATAAATCAATATTATTAAGTGGCCAAAAATAAAAATGTCAATAGTTACTATATTAATACAGGCACTAATTTTTTTTATGCACCACAAATTTTTATAATATAGTTATATAATTTTATAATATAATGAAATATATTTGTGTTCTTTTTATAGAGTATTTCCCAAAAGAGTAAGTGTAAACCTCTGCTGGGGGCAGAAAAAACAGAAACGTTGTCAACGCAGTGGAAAGCATTTTCCCAGCTCATCGCAGGTTTCCCTCCCCAACAGCACCCCTGCTCCACTTTTTTTTTCGTTCTGGCCTGCGGGGGTTACATTTTAAGGAGGGAAAAAGATATCTCTAATGATTAGTCCGCTAAACTCACTCGTAAATTTGTCAAATCGCTCAAGTTATGTGAATCGCATTTTTTCTCTTTATCTGCGGCATTTGCATAGCTCGTTTTTCCTGCTTTTCCATTTTCTTTACTCGTCCCAAGAGACCGCTCCCTTGACCAGCTTTTTATTTGATTATTAAATTAGATTTTTCGTTGGCTGGCTTGGTTTTTTACAAGTTTATTTTTGCACTTTGGCCTCATTAAATATTTCTACGCAATTTTTCCTTGTTATATTTGCACTTTTGCAAAGAGGAAAACATCAAAAAGGGCGTGAAAACTTTGGTCAACAGCGGAAAATATATTGCTAGAAAAATGTTCGCCAATTTTTTTTTTATTTCTCTGTTCTTTTTTCTTTGACAATTCTTTGCCATATTTTTTTGTGATTTTTTAAGCATTATAAATATATGTTTTTGCCTCTGATGCCAAAGCTAACGAAGTCTCATTGTTTTTGCCTTCCGTTGCCCCCTCTGTCTGCTGTTTGTTACAACTTTTCAATTGTTTGGCTTCTGTCATTACCTTTGACATGGCACTGGCAACTTGTGGTTGTTGTTTTTGCCTTTTGACTGTCGCCGCCTTTTGTCTTCGCGCCTTTTGTCCGCGCTTTCCCCATTTTCCGCCCACTTCCTCCCACTTTGCACTCGCACTTTGATCTGCTGCATTTTCTGTATTAATTGTAATGATGAAGTGCAACCAATGTCAGTCCTTCAAATCGACGTGGAGAATGGGTGGCAAAATCCGAATTGCTGTGGGGTTACCTTGGTCTTCATTGAAGTTGTGTCTATACATGCTTAAATGACATTTATATAACTTTAAAATTTATATAATATGTAAAAAGAGGAAACCAGAAGATGATAGTGAATATAATATGTTAATTAATCATTTAATTTTCCACACTTTGATTTAAAAGTAGAAAAACACAGATTTATATTGCTTAATTGGTATTGTTTTGAATAAAAATAACTCAATGCTTGGATTAAGTTTTCAAGATCAATTCTCTGGATTAGCGATTACTGCGGTTGAACATAAATCTACTGCCAGGCATCTTGAACCCTTCCTAAAAAGTCCACTTTAAACTCTTTGAACTTCCCTCTCAAGCTCGGTAACAAACATTTGACACATTTTCTGAGTTTCTCCCTAAAAAATGAAAGCTGCATCATTATACAAAAAAACCAGTTGGAGTCTCACTTTCAATTTAGGTTTACTGAGTGCACTTTGGAATGCTTCTTCACCTTGACCCAGATTTGCTCAGCCATCCCTTTTGCAATATTATAAACAAAAGACGTAAACAAATTTGCTCCGATTTCAGGTCCCCCTGGTTCTTACATACGTGTTTTTCCCGTTCAACATATGCAACCATTCCAGCTGAAACGTGCTCAAAGATGCAACATATGCAGTTTTTCGCTCAAAGGGCGACCTTGAGAGTGGGGGATTAAAGTCGTTGGGCTTTAAGCTACCCATTCAGAGTTGCTACTTCTATTTCCACTTAATAAAGCACACTAATGATGACCACAAATCCAACCCAAAGAACAACCAAATTGCAATGAATCTGCACTTGAGCACGTTCCTAAATAAAAACCAACAGAGCTGGCAGGAAAAAAATAAACCTGAACCAACGTTATCCCTCTTATATTAGGGCAAAGCCAACTCTAATTTATTTTTAATAATCCTGTTTTCTATATATTTTCAAGTTCCCTTTGAGTTTTGCAAACATTCCTTACCCTCGGGACAGTAGCGAAAAATAAGGAAAAAGAAATTGATTTGCTTAGCAAGTTTGTGTACTTTCAATTAAGTTAAAAATGCCTCGAAAGGCACTCAAATAGCCAGATATCTAAGTATATGCTTGATGATATGAATGTTTGCTGAAGGAAGATGTTTAGGGAAGAGAGAGATGGTTTTCTACAAAGTGAACAGACTTTTTGGTACTGAGGGAAAGTATAAGATGAAAACCCAGACAAGTTCACAAAATTAGAGTTTAGTTTTATAATTTTAAGATAATTTATATTGCAATTATTATATTTATACATTAATATGGAAATATATTTATTTTCATTATTTCTTTAAAATACATTCACTACATCCAAGTCAGGGGCACTCCCACATACCCTCTAAAATGCATTGGTAAATCTGTTGCTTATTCAGAAAAATCCAAAACTGTTTGTTTACGGGTCACTTTACCAGAAAGGGTTGCTAAAGGATAGACGATACGATATCATGTGTGGACGCTCAGGCAAACAAAAGTGCAAATTCCCGGGGGGACATTTGATTGAATTCAGACAGTTAACCGTCCTCATAATGTGCATTTTTCAAACGAAAAGGAAAAAAATGGGAAATCCTTTGGCTTCTGCTTATCTGCCTGGAAGAAAAATATCAAAAAATTTAAAATCTTCAGGGGCTGGGGAAACAGTTTATTTGGCAAATGGTATTTGTTCTTTGCCAGTTCTTGTCCTGATTGATATTATTAGGGATCCATCCGTCCATTGATTGATGGCTTCGGTGGACGGTGCTTAAAACGAATCTTCTATTTGGATTTTAGAAAATTAAAAAGCAGCTTAGCCTCTGCATCCTTTCCCCAGTATTATTTGCCTTATACAAAAGCGTATTAAAAATCGGGAGTTGAAAGATTTCAGTCGTCTATTTTTTATTCAAAGCTCAGCCCAGAGGCAGATTTTAAAGTTGGTTGGGTGGCGCCACGCGACATTTTTCCGCATCGATTGTATGAATCTGGGAAATCGGGATGAGGGAATATCAAGAATTATCCAGTTTCCTTTGTATGACAAACGGCTTTGATCTCTGCCATCGGTAACCATTTTGGGGGAGGAGTAAAAAAGTGGTACTCACTTTGAGGTGGCGAAGTATTATCAACGATGGTTATGTAGATTATGGCTATTCATGAGTTTGATGACTCAAGTTAAGTAACAAATGGATAAATTACTTTTTTTTGTTTTTAAAAAAATTAAAAAATGATTGGTTTTGATTTTAGCGGACTTACTAAAAAGTTATTCTTAACTTTTGAATAAAAATATCTAAAATTTGATTTATGTATATTTATTTATAATATATTTATAAATAAAAAAACGATTATCATAACGGCAAAGCAAAATAGGGTTTCGTTTCTGTTTAGTCCCAAGAAATATTTTTAAATTCCTATAGATCGGAATGAAACACCTTAGACTATTGAATAGTGTTTTTTAGATAACTAGAGTTTAGGACCCAATACCCATCATGAAATATAAACGTTTTACAGAAGAGGTGAAAACAACTCCTTTGTTCATTGTACTTGATATAAGGTAGGTCTTATTTTCGAGTAACTTGTTGATTTCCACCAAAAACTAACAAAGGAAATATTCATCAACTTAGTTTAATTCAGTTAACATTTTTTTAATCAATTAAAATCCCAAAAACATAAAAGTATTAAAAACCAAAATAAATATAAATAATTTATAATTTATATCCTCCTCAAATAATTGATAAATAATTTATTTTAATTTAGTAATATTTTTATTTCATGTTGTATGCATACACTTGCATTTTTATTATACTTAACTTAAATTTAAATCGCTTAAAAGAATGTGTGATTCGGGTTATTTGTGTAAATATTTCTACTTTGAACTTGTACTATGTTTATGCTCGTGACGCGAAAATGCGTCTATTCTCCATAGAGTCTTAGCCACATATTGCTTACAAATATAGATCTAAAAACTAAATTGACACACACACACACAGCTTATAAATCGATGGCAAAGTAAATATAAAAAATATATGATTTTTATTTTGAAAAATACATTTCCATAACTATTTGCTAGGTTTAAGAAGCATTCTACCTAGGAAGTTGAAACTTTAAACTTTTCCCATAATTAGACACCAAGAGAGTTGTATGTAAAAAAGTTGTGGTAACTATCTGCAGATATAGATTATAGATTAGTTTGGCTTATCAACTAAGTTGGTTTCGGTTTGAAAACTAGCTGCTGCTTATAAAATTTTGTTTTCATCTTTTCAGACCATTTTCCAGTATTTGTTTAAACTTTTTATTTCGTTTTTCTTTGCACTGGGCCGACCTCCAAAGAGAACTTAACTTATTCAGTTAAATTAGTAGAACTAACTTAAATAAGTTGACTAAACAAATATTTGGACTGGAAATATTTTTAGCAAAATTATTTATCACATTTGCGCTTATCCAAAGTTTTAGACTCTTTTTTGTTTGTAAACCGACGGCAATTAAGAAACTATGGGCAGGAATAATTTCCAACAAAGAAAATACGAGTATAAAAAATTATCATTTTCTGGGTTTTTCCTTGGGAAATTGATTCACATTTCTCTGTCATTGTCTCGCTCTTTCTCTCTCGAAATTTTCGTGGGCTGCGCTAGTTCTCACCAACGTAAAGTAATCACAAGTTGCGCTTTTAGGAGCCTTAGTTGGTGTTTGGTTTTTTTTTCAAAAATTTTACTGCGCCTGCGGTTGGATTTGCACAGTGGCCTTTAGTTTACTGGATTTTCCGGATGCCTTATGTTGCAGGTAAAACTGCTTGAGGACCTTGCACATGGTGATGGCCAGGAATTTCCAGGCCAACAGTTGTTCCTCGGCGCTGGGAGGCGGAACTGGCTCACTTGTTGCTCCTGGTTGAGGGAGTTCCTCGGCCGCAGACGGAGGTCCCTCGAAGTCCACTTGGTCGTGTCCAGGATCTATGGAGAAAGCCATAGGACTATCCACTTGATCACCGCTTGGTTCAGACTTTGAGTTGTGCTCTTCTTCAAAAAATGGAATAGCCATTTTGTGTGTCAAAAATATACGTAAAAATGACACTTGAACTTTTCCTGATATCTCCAATGATTTTCCTTGTCTTTCAGATGTGAACTCTTGGCGAGGTCTCGTGCGACTGAGGAGCTACGCTCGCATGGTACCCGTATTTATACCCGGGAAACGGCGGGAGAATTAGCCGCCCTCATCCCCTCTCACTCTCTCTCAATGTCTCTCTCTCTCTCATCTCCTCTCTCTTTCTCCCTCTGATAGCACCTCTCTCTCTGTCGATATCTGTGCCGTTATGTCTAGCTACTTTCATCACGTGCAGTAAACGTTTCCTCACAGGAAATACAGAGAGTGTCAAACCGAGAGAGAGTCACACTTGTGGCATGTTACGTATATATCATTACGTTACTCACCCTCAGAGCGTTACGTTTTTAGTTCGAATTTAAGGGGTTGTTTAAAATACCATTGACTTTCTTACGTTTTTCGAATTAAGAAAGGGAAGTTTTCGAAATAGGAAAACGCACTTTCCATTTCGGAAATAGATTTGCTTGGAAATATATTTTCGGATTAGAATTTTAAGGGGAAATGGTTTCATTTTAGGTAAAAGGTACTGTATACGACATATCCTCAATATTATAATAAACTATTTTGTAATTTTAAATAATAATGTATTATTTTTTGGACCTTATTAAGTTTTACTTGACTTAATTATTTCGAATTTATAGTATTTTCGTGTCATCAAGGGGAAATTATCGAATTTTAGTAAGACTTTTTCGAAATTTTTGGTTTTAGATTTCGCCTTTGCCATTGGGTTTGTTTGGCTTTCGAGTTTGCCTTTCCTTTCCTTTCCTTTACTTTACTATGCTTTGGCTTAGACGTGTCCTTGACCAGTTTTCTTTCTCAATCTTTTTCCCAAGAGTGTGTGGGATTACCTATTTAAGAAACTCCTTATTGTGCATTGGTGGTTTTGGGTTCCTATTGTCAAGATATTCCTATTTATATTATATTATTAAACGATTAGGATTACTTTTAATTACGCAATACGATCACACAGTCTAATGCTTGGATTATCTTGGGATTTATAAAAAAACAGGTTCTATTACTAGACTTCTTCAGAAATACAGAACCCACTCATCTTTTTTGTATTCTCTTAAAACAACCAATTTCCTGACACAGCTCCGTACGACCTCAAGAACAATCGGTTAACATTCTGCCAACCACATGCCAGGAATATTTTATAGTGGAAAGGAGTGTCTGTCGGAGTTCTTTGGCCAGTCTCCCCATTTTACACTCTGGGAAATCAATTCCACAAATCAACATAATCAACTTCTCGCCGTAAGTCCAAAATATAATGCACTCGCCGTCAAAAAACTTCTTTTGTTACCCGCAGAATAAAATGGGTTTGGAGCAGCAGAGAATAAGAAAGAAAGCAGAAATAAGTGCCGTAAAAAATGTAAAAACTTTTTTATAGTTGCTACATAAAAAATGTAAAATAAAAACCCAGCGAAGAACTTTAAAGGGAAAATATACGAAAGAGTGCACAACAAAAGGAGATTACCTTGAGGGCGTTCAGGTGAGTGGGCGGGTTCCGATAATGACATCCCAGCGATGATAACCCCGAGAAATCAGAGAAAAAATCCATGATCTAATTTGCTAAACACTCGAGCGAAATCCGTGGGTGGGGCATATTACTTACAGGTATATCTGTAAAATTCGCAGAAAAGAAATTCTGAAAAGCAAAACAAAGAAAGGAATTGTTTTCGCTTAAAAGAACATTCAAATGGAAATGTTCTGCTTGGCTCAACACAAACAACAAGTGCAGGCGCACACACAAACTGCATTTATTTAGTTAGCAAACAAAAAGGGAAAAGAAAAAACGAAAAAAGGAGCAGAAATGGTATCCAAAGGAAGGAACGCATCGAAAGAGTAGCATTTGAGTACCTTCAGACAGACAGACAATGCTTATATATACATAGATATAGAAGGATAAAAGTGAAGTGCGCTGGGGCATGTGCAGCACACGAACAACAAAACACGACGGCAGGAAAAATTACAAGGGAGCAGCACCCAGAAAAGTGAGTTTCAAGGATGGCACGAATGAAGGGATACCCTTTTCATAAGGGTAAATTATTCAGGAATGCCTTTGTATATCCAGTCAAGATGGATTGATTCTGCAATGATCATTTCTAGATAAACCAAGATCCTTATTATTCTGGGTGAATTGTTGGGAACAATAATTATTAAATCGATTTTAAAATTTTAGCAAACTAAAAGGTAATCGTTTTTGAGTTATTATAAAGGACAGTTGATTTCGGGTAGATAATAACTCTAATATGACATATTTTTCATCGTAAAACAAATTAATAATAAAAAGTATTTTTACTTACTAACGAAGTTGTAGACTTCTTTTATAACTTTGAAAAGTAAAAATGATTTTCCTTCTTATTTTAAAGTTGAGTTCAAACGGTTGCCAATTTCTACTCTCCTGTATCACCTTTTCCATTTTCCGATTAATTTCCTTACTGCTCTGCTTTGTACCCCACTTATTGCCAATCGATATCAGTTCACCGTTAATGCCCATTATAGGGTATTTACCTCTTCAGTAAAAGCACAGCAAAAAGGTAGCATAAAACGCTGCGTCGTTTTCGTTGTTGCCTTCTGGCTGTCAGATTGATATTAAATTATATACCTTATTATCATGGCAGAGTTTGCTTTTTTTTTGTGTTTCATATCCATGTCAGGGGGGCGTGGCAAGTCGTGTTTATTTACAGCTGGCAACAATTGTTGCTGAAATGCATTTCACTTTGCCGCACTTTGGAGGATGCACCTCAAGTCAAAGTCAAAGCCAGGACACTTCACATGTGGCTTCCCGTTCTTCGTTTTTTGCATTTATGGGTGGTTTTTGTTTTGTTTTCCTGTGTAAACTGTTATTTTTTAAGGAGGTGGAAGGATACAAGGACTTTATGCTTGATGGTTGCGCCCAAGTGACATTAAATGGCAGCCACATCTTCGGCTTCCTTCGACCTCTCTTTCCCTTCAGATATTCCCGTCTCTTTCCCTGCCATAAAGTGGCTAAAGAAGCAGCTTAAAGTTACCCTGCATTTTAAAGCTTTCTCATTCAGTTGACGTATAAAATATTTATATTTCCAGCTATTTACGCATTCTTCCCTTATATTGACCATCAAAATAAATTGAAGTGATTTTAGTTCGATGCGCAAACTAAATGGGATTAAAGATTCGATTGTTGATTGTCTGGGCAGCTTTATTTGTTTATTTGCTTTGTCTTTATGGGTGGCAGAAAAAGCAATAAACAAGGCAAAGGTAAAACTTTTCCTATTGCTAAAATGAATGTTGGGACTTATTTATGCTTCGGTCGTTCTAAATACGTTTAGGAAAAACTAGGAGCTGCGAACTACTGATAAAATTAATTGCGCTTTTGACAGTTTATACAGTTAGTTGTTACGGGATTTATAAAATTTAGTGGTTGGAAAAAATTTTCATCTGTCAAAATATTTTACCTCAACCCATAAAATTCTCTTACTAGCAATCTCATCTAGCAGAAACTGATGGCTAATCGCCTCCATTGTCTACAGCAGGCAACCAAAAGTGCCGCACTAATTAACAAATTGATTTATGGAAATGAAAATGACAACTCTCCAGGGACAAGAGCCCAATCATCAGGGAAGAGCCAAAAAACTCTCATATGCAAAATATATTTTGGCAAAAAACAAAGCGGTAACAACAATGAGCCACAACCACCCTGGGGATGGTCGAAAAACTTTGACTCTGCGGTTAAATCTGGAACTCATCCGCCGCAGACAGACATTTAATTAAGGTGTCTTCATGGTTACAATCTCTGGCTGAATTCGAGTGGCAAATGAGTCTAATTAATAACGAGGCATTTGCAGCATAATTCATTTGGCAGCCAAACTTTGTTTTGGGTTTGGGTAATTATTCCTGAGCTCGGGGTACAGTTGCGGTGCTTAAATAATATTTATAAAAATTTTTAAATTCAATTTTATGTTGTATTACTAAACACATTGAAATCTGTAGCCAACAATTCTGTATTTTAGGTGTTACCTTTTTGTGGACCACATTTGGTCATTACATTTTTTTCAGTTTTTTTTATCAATTTTTACCCGAAAACTTTTTCTCCTTATTTCAGCTGTCCGGCAATTTTTCTTTTGTGGTGTTACCATTTTGATGACTTAAGCCAGGCGTCTGAATTGAATTTATTGCCGTACTGATATGTCCCCTGGTCCAACGTAATTTATGCAAATTGTTTAGCACTTTCGCCAGCTACAACCCCTGGACAGAACAATTAATTTCCAAGTTCAATCATATGGGCCAAAAACCTCCTGAAAATTGTATTTATTTTTGGGTTGGTTTCATATAATCGAATTTTAAGGACAAACATTGTCCTGCAAAACTAAAGTAAATAAACATTCTGGCCCGGCCAAGACATCAAAAGCGTGTTTAATTTATGGTTCGTTAGGTCAGCCATTTGCTGTCAGCAAGTGGGAAGGCTTTTGTCTGGTCCCGGACCTCAATCCAAGCCGTATGCAAATCAAATGGAGTATTCATCTTCGTCAGTTCTTGGACCCTTTTGCGGGTCCTTTGAGGTGTTGGCTTAAACACTAAATGGAAATTATACAAAAGGCAACTCAGAGAGACTCCCACATTCCACCCCTCCGATGGGTCAAGAATAATTCCTTTTTGATTTCCCTCCCCCGCTGCGGAAAACTGTGGGAAAATGGTCACAGCACATGTGAGGCGAGCAGGAAAATTTATGTGTGCCCAGTTTGGCCATAAAAAGGGACGGCAAACTTAACTCAACTTCCTCAGCGGGGAGATCCTGGACAGTACAAAAGAAAAATGCGGAATGATTCTGCAAGGATCTTTGTGCGGTCAGTTCAAGTAAACATAAAAGGCGACAAAGTGCCACTTTGGTGCTTTAAACTTTCTTCAGCATTCCCCACTTGTTACTTTCAAATGATTCAATGCCTTCAATTGCCAAGTATTTCGTTTTTTTTATTTTAAACTCCCAATTTTGAGGGTTGTTGGGCGAGGAAATGTCTGCTGGGCATATCAAAAAACCGATTCGGTTGTTATTAAATGTT